GTGACCAGCGGCTACTCTACTGAGCAGCACAGAGTTAAACAGTATTCTCTCTGTTACCGTCTCACGAATACCAACAGATGACCTAATCTTCACGTTACACAGTCAGAAATGATTATGGGAAGAAAGAGTGAATTATTACTTTGCCTCAGCTGCTTTGAATCTGAAATCTGATATATTTGAATCTAGTACATTTTCTCATTTAATCTTCACCATAACCTATGAAGTTGGTCCCGATAGTATTTCAGATAAGTAAAAGTTTGACATGACATCACACACACACACACACACACACACACACACACACACACACGTTATGTTCTCAACTTACGTAACCAAAGATAAGAACAGAACCTAAGTCACACAGCAGTACAGAGCCCAAGGGAAAACATTCGGCCGAACTCTTGCTTTACTGTGCTTTTCCTCTTCGTTTTCACCACCATTCCCAGAAGCATTTTCTGTAGTAGCTGAGCACCTCCCCTGGACGGAATACTTGCAGACATTAGACCCTCTTGGTCCTCAAGCCAAACTCGGCATCACTCAAGGCCACCCGGTCCTATGGGGGAACCGGCATGGCTGGGGCTCAGCCTGACCCCTGGCAGCCTCTCTGCCTCCAGCTCCCGCCCCTGCGCCCTCGCAGGGCCACACAGTGGTCACCTTCAGACGGCTAAGCGGCTCCTAACAGAGACGACGCGTAAACAAACAATGAAAGATGAGACCTGTAAACAAATAAACCAAGTACGTAAGTGTGGTAGGAAAGAGAGCTTTCGGAAGGTGTTAGAAAAGCTTCACTTTAGGTGAAGTTTGGAAAAAGAGCAGGCTTTGCGGAGAGGAAGGCCGGAGCAAGGGCCCGAGCCCTGGGGACAGTGCCATGAGGTCGCACGGTGAACTGTCCCACCTGGCTAGATAACAGGGAATACGACGGGCAGTACGAAACCAGCCTCACAGGGGGGTATGAGACATCGCATGTTCACAGATAGGACTTCACTGGCGAAGAGCTCGGCACGACGGCAAGTTCTGCAGCAGGAACACTCGCGACAGCGGGTCCTTCGGAAAGAGCCCACTCGGACGTGGCGCAGAATACGGACATTTCAAAACAGACAAGCAGAGAGCCAAGCAAACAAGAAAGGGGGTTCGTGGAGATCAGCTAGGGGGACGTGCACGATTCTGGAGTACGGGCTGTACCACCCGGATCTGCTGGCGGCAGGAAAAGAAATGCAGGAGAAGATTCCCAGGACCTGGGGACTGGGAGAGACAGAGTCCTCAGGCTCAAAGCCTCGTCAAGACCGGTGAGCTTCCTGCAAATAGGAAAGTCAATACAACTAAAGAGTTTTGCCCTCGTGGGGAGGATCCCAGAAGAGATAATGATCTCAGGTTGGACCTATTCATTTCCCTAACAAGACCTGAATCTGTTCTATGCGCCTACTTTTAATAGAGTGAGTGAACCACTGTTAAAACCCAATAAGCACTTGGCTTTCCTTAGAACTCGCTTAACTAGTCCAGGATAACCTGAACCTGCTGGTCACTTATCTTCCGCAGGCTGGTCTTGGCAGCCTGCTCAGCTGTCCTCGGCACGACCCCAGCAGATCTCTGGACCATTCTTCACATCTGCCCTGACCAAGGAGGGAAGGAAATTCCAATGTGAAGATGAGCTTTCTGGCCTGGGTTTTACTTCTGAAAGGGCCACGTGACACTAGGCACAGCTCTAGATGCGGCACTTTGTATTCTTCGATATTTAAAGTGAAAGAAAGTCTGTGGGTGAATGTCAGGGATCAATGTCCCTGTCTGTGCCCTCCCGAATTCTATGAAATCTAGAAATCAGGCTGCACTTAATCCTTGATGGTGGTATATTCTCCATAAACTGTTGCAAACAGTTGGAGTGGTCAGTCTCCTACCTACACCAATATGTCACAGACACCAAACTGCTCCTAAAAACAGAAATTACCATTTGTAAAGACGCGTCGCCTGTCAGTGCTCCCCAGCAGGTCCTCGGAAGCTAGGACATTAAATCAACACCTTCAGGAACAGGCTGGGACGCGTGTGTGGACACACGCGCAGAGACACACGCTCAGAGACACACACACACTGCAGAGCCGACCCCGAATACGCCGCACCCAGCAGACTGTCAGCGCCTCAGCGACATGTGGCAGCAACATTTCCAAACACTGAAACACATTTAGCTTCAAAAAAGTGAAGGAGGCCACTTTATTCACTGAAAAATGGACGAGTGACTTAGAAAGCAGAATATAACCGTCCAGATTCTCACTGCCTCTCTCTATGGGGGCGGTGACCAGTCTCCAGAGACGGCCCCCCAACAACACCTGCCCTCCCATGGCACAGGCTCCAGAGATGGAGAGCCTGGTGCTTCACTGACCCTGGCAGGGCTTGTGACTCATGGCAAAGATGACATTCTTAGACTTTCAAGCCCAGGTCTTAAGAGGCTGACAGGTTCCATCCTCTTCATCTTTTGGAAGCACACACCCACTTGAAAAGTTGGACTATCTCGCTGGAAAGAGGCCTAGGGGACAGGGAGGCCTGAGGCCCCATTGGTCAGTTGAGCCCAGCTGAGCCCAGCTAAATGCAGCTGCGTGACTGAGCCCAGGCAAAAACAGCAGATGAACCCAAGCTGCCCCGTAGAATCATGAGAAATAGATCAGTGCTGCTTTAGGCACTGAGTTTGGGGTCCTTTGTTATACATGGTAATAGACAGATCACTGAAACAATGGATGATATCAAATGGATAAAAGTGAGTCAGATCTACCGTTCACCTGAGACCCTCTGTGATGATATTGGAGATTGTACACTTCTGCTTGTAAACCAGTGTCAGTGGAGAAACACAAATGGGACCTGCTCTTGTCATAGTCACACACGAGCTTTCAGCAGTATCAGGGACACTGGCATTGATGTGCACTTCGGACTCTGACAATTCTGCCCCCAGACCCTGATAGGACTAGAAAAATGATGTCCCCTGACTAGTTTATGAAGCTCTCTCCCTCCTTGTGTTCCTGCACCTGTTTATTGGAGACTATAACAAGAGGACGAATGCAGGAGTGAATAAAACCTCAATATGAGTATGAGGAGGATGAAGACAAATTAGCAGAGGCCTCAGCTACACTTTATGGCACGGACGGCAGGGAGCCAGACAGACCGGGCAGGCTCGGGGTGGACTGAATCGTCAGCCCCAATTCTTGACGCTTCTCTACATCCACACCCTAGCCATGAATGCTCTGTGGTTGGATGCCCTTCACTGCTTCTTGCCTTTGAACTTGTTCACGTGACCTGGGTTGAACGCTGGTCCCAGTGACAGCGTGCCAGCTCGAAGCCCAATCTTAAGTGGCATCATGTATATCACTTGCGCTTTTACCCTTTGCAAACGGAGGGCATGCCTCCTGATCCCAGAAGGAAGCTGAGAGACATGGGGCGGAGCCACTCCAGCTGACCCAGCAGCTCATCATCAAGAAAGACACACTCATTGTTGAGTACCACGGAGATCCTGAGGCCACGGCTGCCCAATACACGGCTCCTTTATTAAATGCTGACATCGGCAAAATACAAATGGTGCTTGAGGACAATCGAAAGCCTTCTTGGCTATAAAAGTTGTAACCAAATTAGCAAATGGATGTTTAGGTTCCAATGACCTGTTTTTCCAGAAACCGTAGTTTCAAAGATCTAGATTCTACTCTCACCAAGATGCGATGTGCCTCTTCTCAAGAGCTCTAAATCCTATCTAGTCACCACTCGAAGCAAATTCATTCCAGGCAACAAGTACTTCTTCTTAAAGCAACACAAAATCCTCCTCCCCGTGGACACTCGTCCACTGGAAGCCGAGCACTGGCCCTTCCACGGCACTTCCAACTCTTCCCCCAGGGACTGAACCCACCAACGCAACGGGTCAAAATCAGAGACTCCAAACACAGTACAATTACTCGACAGTGTCTGACTCGTGCAGCTTCAGCTGATTACATGTAAACATCCTTTCGACCAGGTTCTTTATCACCCGAGAGATGAAGAGGTGCTTTTATGAATAAAGTGCCGTGTAAATGTCGAGTCGTGTGAATTACTGTTCAAGTAATTCAACAAAATCTGCCTCCGCGGCCTTGTGCTAAGTGGAATGTGCGACTGACACACAGGCACACTTCATTAAAGCAACAGCTGCTCTTCCAGGAACAAACGTAAGATTAGGTGAACTCAGAAGCCTAGAAGGGGCCAGGCAGGTAAGGCCAATGGTCAGTGAGTGAACTGGGCTTGGTGTGCGGTCCCAGGGAGGCTCAGCGGTTCGCTGGAACCCCCGCTGGATGAAGGGGCCACGGCTACCACCCCGCTCACTGCTGCCTCTGGGAATGAAGCCCCAGTGTTGCCAGATCTTCTGGAGAAACGTGAGGTTTTATGTGAAACATCCTGATTTTTAAAGGCCGTCTTGTTTCCATTTAAAAATTCTCTGGGAGTCAAAAAAAAAAAAAAGGATTTGCAGGCCGGATGTGGGCCATGGGTTGGCAGTTTGTGATATTCTAAAGTCATCTTGGAATATCACAGAAAGGCTGAAAGATGACTTAAATTTGTTGCATTTGTATTTTCAAATCTGAAATTTTATCGTTCACATAAAGAGCAACTATTAACCGCAGAGAATACCTGCCTCTCTCATTCACAGATCCTCCCTCCCTCCACTGTGGGACTTCTCTGTCTGCAGTCTTACAGTTCTCTACCAGGGCACCTGTGGACGCTGTCTGCCCACCTATTTAAGTCCTACTACTTATTGAAAACTTGACTGAAATGCTCGCTTCTGCGTAAAACCTCCGTGGTTCTCCTTGAAATCCTCTGTGCATAAATTATGAGAATTGTCCAGTGTATGAGATCTGCATTGATTTCTATCACACCTCATCAGCCTTTTCCCAGCAACCTCCCCACCCCCAACAGTGTGACACTGTTAACACTACAAGGATTCACTCCCTCGGAAGTGAAAGGCCTGAATCAACAGGCGGAGAATCAAGTTCGAGGACACTCACCGCCAAACACATCTCCGTTCTGGTAGTTTTTCCCTTTCTGGGCTTCCTCTTCATTTTGAACAGTGGCAACATGCTTGGCGGAGGCACAGCCCATAGTCTCATTCGCTCAGCTTCAGCCGGGCTGAACTGCAAATCATCTCTACAGACACGAGGACATTTTTCTTTTCTTTAAACACGAAGAAATCCGACCTTCCTTCTGAGTCGGTCAAGATGTGCGCACCTGCAAGAAGCAAAACACGAGATCAGGGTGTGTGAGACAAAACCCGTGTCCCGGCGGCCCGCTGTGCCGTGTCCGGCAATGCGCTGGAATCCCTGCACGGCCTCACTGTGCCAGGGGTGCAACGGGGCTCTGCAACACGCAATGCAACATGGACCACCCAACCTGACCCCCCGTCAGCAAGCAACAGCAGAAGGCCTCACCCCTGGCTGAACTTTCTGAGGAGCTACAAATTTACATATATTTATTGAACTTAATATCTGAGCACTACTACTTGGCACACATATATGTGAAGTGTATGCATGTTCGCTAAAGTTCTAGAGTATCTTGGACGTGCACCATTTGGGAGGCTGGAAAAGTTCTCCACCTTCCCCATCCTCCCTGTCGGCCTGACCTCAGCTCCTCCGTCTTACCAGGGGGAGGTGGCCTTCCTCCTCAGGCTGAACACGGGCTAGTTTATACATTACTGGTGGGGTCTGTAAATAATTCAGTATTTTATTTGACCTGCGGTGACACTGTTTTTGGAGGATGAAAGGAGATGAGGACAAAGATTTCGACTTCCTTTTGCCATTATCTGCTTAGCTAGCTGCCTGTTTTAAGCATTGAGCAAATGTAGGAATTTGAAGAAAAGAACACAAGGCGGTTGTCTGTCTCTTTCAGAGTCTTGTGCCTTAATCTGACCCCTGATAAAGGCGGGAAGAGTATCTATGGATAAACCACAAAGGAGATAATCCCCTAGTTAAGTAAATTTACCTTCCCCTGCCCCATCCAATGTCATGGCCCAAATTCTCAGGGTTTGCTCTGCATAGCTCGCTCATTTTTATTTAGTTTATTTTTTCATTATCCTGATCCAGCCCTTGTATTCTTGTAGATGACTTACTGCAGTCTTACAGATGTTTCCTTTGGACCCTCTATCCATCCCTTCGTCTCCATCCATCCCACCGTAACAGGCCTGCACCTCCGCACAGCTGTGGAGAGAGGCATCCAGCCACTGCCGTCTCTGCATTAGATCCTCTCCCAGCTCTCCTTCCCCTCACAGAGAACCAATGCCTCCGGGGTCCAGCACAGAGCCACCAAAACACAGCTGCAGGCTTCCTCTTCCCACGAGACTGCTGCCCCTGAACCCTCCTTCCCAGGGCACGCATGACACGTATCCACAGACGTCATGGAATCGTCATTTCAACCATAAAATCGAAGTGAAGGGAGTTTTTCAAACTAGCCTAACATTACAAGTTAATTCTAAATCGATCTGCTAAATGAACTTAGATACAAAGGTCATGATCTTAAACCGAGCCAAGCAAATGCAGATTTTAATACTGACTCCGTGGCTACGAGACTGGCCATGTCTTTGCCTGGTTTTCAGACCATGTTCTATCACTGGTCATTAACAGGAAGTGCAGGGCTAGTTGGTGAAGTTTTACAAACAAGGAGGATTTGTTCCCCTGGTCAATGCGTATCATTTTCCTACATTATTAGGTAACCTTGTGGTAATACACTTTCATGTTTTGAAAGCTATCTGGAATACACACACACACACACACACACACACACCTGTTCTTATGAGATTTAGCAGTAATGTCATTAAAGAAACAGCATTTTGATTTTATGGTCTATTCATAGTGGCCTATAAAGCATAGGGGCTTGATGTGGCAGACGTGCTCACATTTATTTTTTATTTTATTTATTTATTTGTTTATTTATTTATTTATTTTTCTTTCTTTCTTGATTTGAGAGAGAGAGAGAGGAAGGAAGAGAGAGAGAGAGATAGAAACATCGATGAAAGAGAACATCGATTGGCCACCTCCTGCATGGCCACCCACTGGGAATTTGGCCCACAACCTGGGCATGTGCCCTGACTGGGAATCGAACTGGCGACCTCTTGGTGCATGGGTCAATGCTCAACCACTGAGTCACACCGGCCGGGCCTACATTTATTTATTTATTTTTAATTTTAATTTTTAATTTTTAATTTTTTTTTATCCTCACCTGAGAACATTTTTCTATTTTTTTTTGTTCAGGTAGAGTGGGAGGGAGAGAAAGGAACAGAGAGAGAGAGAGAGAAACATCGACGTGAAAGGAACACATCGAGTGGCTGCCACCCGCATGACCGACCAGGGCCGGGGACAAACTGCAACCGAGGTACGTACATGCCCTTAGCAGGAACCGAACCCGGGTCTCTCTGGATTGCAGGCTGAAGCTCTAACCGCTGAGCCAAACCGGCCAGCGCTTAATTTTTTATTTTTTTATCCTCACCCAAGGACATTTTTGCATTTATCTTCAGATAGAGCAGGAGAGTGAGAGAGAAACATTGATGTGAAAGAGACACACTGACTGGTTGCCACCTGCACAGCCCCGGTTGGGCCGAGGTACGTGCCCTTAGCGGGAATCGAACCCGGGACTCCCTGGTCCGCGGGCCAACGCTCTAACCGCTGAGCAAAACCGTCCAGGACCTACATTTATTTGGACCTACATTTATTTTTTAAAGTCTACACAATGCAGTGTATTAAGTACCATGACAGAGGTTTCACAAGAATCTATAACAATGCAGAATCCAAAAAAGCAAATGAAATTACCACTGGGCAAAGACAGGATGAAAAGAGGAAGTGGTATTTTTTAGGGTCTTAAAAGTTTGGTAGAAATGTGCCAGGCTGAGAGGAGGGCAGCATCACCCAGACATAAGGAACTGCCCGGGCTAAGACACTAACTAGACTGTGGGAGAGCACCGTGCGCGCACGCGTGGGTGTGTGTGTGTGTGTGCACGCACACGCACACGCACACTTGTTCACAGGGGTCAGCGTGGCGGGACAGGGACGAGGACTACACTGTGATGCTGTGTGGAGGGCCTGGAGGAGGCCTTGCTGACTTTATTCAAAATTTAAAAATAAACTATAAAATGTCATAAAATATAGAAAGTCTTTCTTATCCCCCTAATTTTTAGATACTAAAACATGGGCTCTCTTTATTTATTTTTAAATGTATTGGGGTGACATTGGTCAATAAAATTATATAGGTGTCAAGTGTACAAGTCTCTGACACGTCATCTGTATACTGCATTGTGTGCCCACCACCCAAAGTCAAATCTCCTTCTGTCATCATGCACTTCTGATCCAAAGATGAGCCTACTGTGAGAGATTAAATTAGGAGTGTCAAAATCCCTGCTGTCAGTCTATCGTGGTTTTCAAAGGCACATCACTGACATGTGAGGCAAGAGAAGGCTCGGGGACAGAGTCGGTTCTAAGGGTAGGAGAAGGGACACTGCCCTAGCCAGGTGGCTGCTGAGGGTGCTGTGACTGCTTCTCCGGGCCACATCCCTGCCAGCCAGTCCCCGGGGCAGCACCCCCTCCTCCGCATCTCCAGCCGCACCAGGTAAGATCACAGGTGTGGGCTCCCAGAGGAATTCCTTCCTTTTAAAACAGGAATGTGGGCCCTGGCCGGTTTGGCTCAGTGGTTAGAGCGTCCGCCTGCGGTCCGGAGAGGCCCGGGTTCAGTTCCCGCTAGGGGCATGTACCTCGGTTGCAGTTTGTCCCCGCCCTGGTTGGTCGTGCGGGTGGCGACCACTCGATGTGTCCCTTTCACATCGATGTTTCCCTCTCTCTCTCTTCCTCTCTCTCCCTCCCACTCTGTCTGTACAAAAAATGGAAAAATGTCCTCGGATGAGGATTAAAAAATAATAATAATAAAAATTAAAAATAAAAAATAAAACAGGAATGTGGGAAAACCACCCCACACATACACAGGTGAGCAAGCCGAAGGGAGGGGGGAAATGTCACCTGCCTCCCTTTCCGCTGCCACCTCTTCAGAATAAACAACGTGAAAATAGGAAGGAGAGTGGGAACCCTAAGAAAATTCCCAAAGGGGAGGGGCAATCTGGTGACAATCTATAGTTGTCCTCTCTAGGGTTCTCTCTTTCCCCTTCTTCACTCCTAGTTCATGTTACAGCCTCACATATTATCCAAGAAGTAAATATCAGAATCTAGGATATGAATTACCCTTGGCTACCACCCCTGAAAAGCATGGTGTGGTGTTTTAAAGTTGTGTCTGTAGCCTGGCTGGTGTGGCTCAGTGGTTGAGTGTCAACCCATGCACCAAGAGGTCGCCGGTGTGATTCCTGGTCAGGTCACACGCCCAGGTCGTGGGCCCGATCCCCAGTGGGAGGTGTGCAGGAGGCGGCCAATCGATGTTCTCTCTCATCGATGTTTCTATCTCTCTCTCCCTTCCTCTCTCTCTAAAATCAATAAAGAAAAAAAAATTTTTTTTTAAAGTTGTGTTTGCATCAAAAAATCTTACTTGAATTTAAAATGTCAAAATCACACAAAAATCAAATACATTTGTAACAGGCTGACAAACATAAAACATAGAAGAATTTTTAAAGGACTTCTCTGTTATTCAGGCATGGAGGTGGGGGCATGATTTATATTCAAGTCATGACACAGGACGTTTCCAGTTAATTATATTTTAAAAAACAACAACACACTATTGCTCAATATGAATCCTCTCCAAATCATAAGCAGGTGTAGATCTTGTTTTTGAAACATATACACTATACATTTTACAGCAGTAATTTAAAGAGTGATGTTTTTAAATTTTACAATTTCATCAAAAATATATACTGCCCTGGCCAGTTTGGTTCAGTGGTTAGAGTGTCGGCCTGCGGTCCAGAGAGACCCAGGTTCAGTTCCAGCTAAGGGCATGTGCCTTGGTTGCAGTTTGTCCCCGGCCCTGGTTGGGTTGTGTGGGTGGCAGCCACTCGGTGTGTCCCTTTCACATCAATGTTTCTCTCTCTCTTTCTCTCTTCCTCTCTCCCACTCTATATGAACAAAAAATGAAAAAATGTCCTCAGGTGAGGATAAAAATACACACACACACACACACACACACACACACTAATAGCTTGCCTATTTTCAAGGTGATATGAAGTTATTTGAGAGGCATAAGGTCCCCAATTCGTAAAGCTGACCATGGATTGCTGGGTGAAGTGTTTTACTATGTTATTTGCATT